CAAGCTCATGGCTGCTGCCCATCATCCCAACCCATCTTGAAGAATTATAATAATACTTAGCAGCAGCAGCAGCAGCATGTCAGGGCCAGCCATCTGATATGGACAACAGCTTCTTCTTCCCATGTTGATGTACTTACAGGATCAATCCAATTTTCTCTTTGTTTTTTTCACTGAAAACAGGGGTGCCCAGGGCCTACTTGTGCACATCAGACAATTCTAAACCAATAATAATTGTTTAGTGCATTGATAGTACTAAGAAACTTCATGTGGAATGAGTGCACCTGTAAGATGAACTTGTTTTTATTAATTGTATGTGGATTCAAGTCAGGATTGGAGGTGCAGCATCAACTGGCCCTCCTATGTGCTAGTGGAAGAATGCAAGAATGCAGCTGTTACAGAATAGTGTACAGGCCATTGCCTCAGCTATAAACCTATACACAATGAGTACATACACACACATTCTGGCATGCATGATGGTTGTGCAGGGAGAGTAGTGGGCTATATTTTCTGCCCCTACTGTGTGCAACACCATGTCACCTACTCAGATGAATGAATGATCACACACCCAAATCTTATTTGTTTGTACACCGTTTAAAATATTGCTAATTAGTTTTCTTATCAGTACAGATTAAGGATAAAAAACAGAAATAAAAAATAGCAATTGTATACGTAAAAGTATAAGGTGTTGCTAATATCACCACAATTTGCCGTCCATCACATGTTACCACAATTTTTCCTACTACCACCATAACTTGTCACTCACTTGACATGTTTCTTTAGTTTTATAAATTGAAATTGAAATTTTATTTTTATTTAAAATACATGTATATAAACAACCATTCTAATTTTAACAAAAAATTTAATTCATAAAAAAAGTTGTGGTGACAACAACAAAAACTATGATAAAGTGTGGTGGATGGTAGATTATGGTGATAATAGCAGAAATTGTGGTGACAATATCTATCTATCTGTCTGGCAGTCTATCTATCTGCATCCACATTTACATGGAAAGGAAAGAAAAAAACAAAAACAAATAAAAGTAGGAAGAGAAAGGGTAAAGAATGGCCCAAAGAGATATCATCTGTTTGTATCTGTGAAGAGATAGACACCCAGCCAAACAGATTGTCTTGATGTTGTGTGCTTGATTGCTGCCTTTCTTGTTTTGTTGATTGGTCTGATTGTTGCTGCTGCACACCATGAGGTGAAAAACAAGTGATAGAGACTGGTGGGATTGCAACGTCATCAATCATGGAGGAAGGATTGGAAGATTTTGATTGACGCATCCACGTATTGAAAACACATAGAGACAGAGGATGAGATATAGAGGTATGATAGATACAGTATTAAATAGAAGAATAAAAGAAAAAGTAGAGAAGACAGTTTTGAAGAATGAAAGAAGAGACTATCAAGGCAACAATGATTTGGAAACTGGGTCAATGCCATGTTGTCTTGCCCATCACCATTCAATTTATTGCATGTACAAAATGTAACCCAAAAACTATAAAGAAGATTGACAAAAAAATGAAAGCCCTTGCACACCACATCCCTTGTTCTTAGGCATTGTTGTCATGGTGGGGAATGACCATCTTTTTACTTCTATCTTCTTATTTAATGATTTTTTAATGATTTTTTATTTAATGATTTCCCTAGAGAGGTGTGTGAAGGAACAGAATCTAGAGGAAGTGACAGACCTCAATTTTTTTTTAATGATAAAAAAAAGTAAACAAAAGAAAATATGTGGTTTCTCTCTCTGTGTGTAGATTGTGGTGGTGTGTTGTGGAAGATCATCCTCAGTTTCATTTGCTCTTCTTCTCTTTTTCTTTCACAAAACAGGCTTCACAGGGCTGGTTCCATTATAAAAGCTTATGTTATGCTATGCTGTGCTGTGCTCCTGATAGAACCATCAAAAAGGATTCCAAGTCTCACAATGACCCAATCTACCCTCTATCCCACACCACAGAAAAGAACACTTGGACTCCCACAACTCAAACTCCACCCCACCCCCCCAATGACATAATGGATGGATGGATGTAGTAGATGGATGTAGTAGATGGATGTAGTAGATGTATGTATGAATGAGAAGGATGGTATCAGGAAAGAGGTAGGAAGGTTCCTCCCCTGAAGGTGCTCTGTTTAGTATTGCTGACTACCAATCCAACAGTCAAAGCTGTGACCCAATAAATGCTTTTCAAGTGCATGTGTTTGAGTTTGCCTTGGTTCACAGGATCCCCAGACAGTGCATGCAATGCATACAAATGTTTTGTACCATGGTGAAATGATTTTACATGTATCATTGATATTTTGATTTCTGTTTTTTAGTTATCAGTGACAAGTAACTCAAGAATTATTATCCCACAAGGAAGTAATGTCATTGTTCCCATGTTATTCTAACCAAGTTCGTGGTAAGTTTCAGTGGGAAAGTAGCAAGTGAAAGCCACAGCATGCATCTGGATCACACAATCTACATATTCTCCCAATTCATGCACTGTGAGCATACACTAACTCTACCCACACTATTTGAAGTTATTTCTGTCGTCTTCTTCTCAAGCAAGAGGAAGACTGGATGGAAAGTTCAGGTTGTGGGTTGTCGTTTAAGCTAGGCTTGAATACTAGACCGACTCAAAGTTCACCGCTTACATTCCATCTTCAGCTCCACAGTAAGTGATCAGTGGGTTCCTATGTATTGACCTTGCTAGTGTAGTGGATAGCAATCAAGACATTTGGTGGTTACCCAGTTTAGGGTTCTGTGCTGAAATGTTGTGGTTTTACCCGATTTCAGTTTACCACATCATGACGCTAAATTAATACAATTCCTTTCTTAAACCCTAATTTGAAAATCACTCTTGTGGCTTTCGTGTTCGTTGGATACGGAGAATGTTGAGCGGCAAGCCTGCGATGTCTCCAATTCTGTGTGTCAGAGTTGGGTGATTGATTCCATTGCAATTACCTACCAAAGCGATGGGAGGGATGGTACGCTTAATTGGCAGGCAACGAGGAACAGTTCTGAGTGACGTGCAGGTTTGACTAAATCTCAGATCGTTGGAAGATTGAGAGAATGTTGCTGGTCACACGTTCTTCTTCTGTTGGTGATAGTGCTGCTGCGGCGGCCACTGTAGCTCGCAGCCTTCTGTACAACACCACGAAAGTGGGAATATTATCCTAAGGTGGGGAGAAAAAAAACAAAGCAAGGGGAAACAAAACCATTGCATTTGTAGACGTGTGAGAGAGAAATCTGCTTCTGAACGGCGTTGGCGGTTTCCTTCCTGCGAAGGTAGGCGTGGCGGCGGAGGGATTCAATCCCTGTACTAGAAGTTCCTGTCACCTTCACACAGGAGACTGTTAGAATCTCACTTTTATATATTTATTTTTTCCCCTGTACAAAGACCATTATAAAAAAGGAAAACTTATTTACACTCTTTTTCTTTAAACATTTTATTTCATTTTCTACTTGTTATTCATTTGGATTTTACCTGATTATCATATGCTCTATTTGACTAAACCTGAGTGTTCTTTATTATTTTACTAAAACTTAACAACAATCAAAGAAATCAAGATCTACTCAAATCAGTTAACATTTTCGAATTGCAAATCAATTTCTCCAATACAAATTATATATCTTTCTGAAATATGAATGAATCTTGACCACTTAAAATATGATCATAAGCAACCGATTAATTTTAGAATCAATAATACATATATACCTACATACATGCATAAAGAATTTATTTTTAAAATTTTAAAACATAATTAAACAATACTAATTCCTGCAATCAGCTTTATGAGTAATTTTATAATATTAGATCAGATATGTAATAAAAAATATTTATAAAAGTATATATGTGTGTGTGTGTATATACATTTATATGCATGTATAACTTGATATGCTCAGTGGACAAACAAAATTTCACGTAACAAAGGGTATAAAGTTATTGAAATAGGGTTATGGTAGAAATATTGAGTTACCACAATAGAATGGACTTGGTGGTGGCAAATAATATCAAGCAATCAACCTTATTGAGTTGCAGAGGGATTATTGTGCATGTCTCTCATTTTTTGCAAATGATGTTGGCTGATTGGCTACAATGAACTTCTATAACTTAATAAATTCATAAAATTGTATCAAATAACATATAATAGAAATATTGAGTTACCATCATAGAATGGACTTGGTAGGAGCAAATAATACCAAGCAACATAAGTAATCAAATTAACAAATACCAAGTTGTAGAGAGATTATAGTATACATAATTTTCATAAAAAAACATGTTAGATAAATAAAAAATATAATATATATATATATATATATATATATATATATATATAACATTGAATATGTATACACAAATGACTATGGTATTAATGAAAATTATGATTTTGAAAGTTTATTAACAAATAATACTAATAGTTGCACTAATAGTTGTGGTTTTGAAAAACAATGCAAAGAGTGCATGCAAATCAATTCAGTTGATTTTACAAACAATCACTCTGCAACCCATTTTCTGAAACAAATAATAGCTTACAATTGCATTAAAACGAGTAGGCCCTTTGTCATACATACACTTATACATGGTTAGTCACTTTTATATTGTTTCAGTTTACTCATTTTGATAATTATTCCCATTTTTTTTGTGGCAGCGTGAAGAACAGCTTGTCTACCCGAAGATTTTGAAGAGGGAAGGGGGATGGTGGCCACGTGTTACAGAGGGCGAAAAAAAAAAAAAGTTAATCTGCTGCCGAAAGGCATGAAACTGCCCATTGGATCGTCTCCTTTGCTTCATCTATCCACTACTTTTTTCCTTTTGCTTTTTCAGCTTTTGGTAAAGTTACTAGTGCGTCAAATATACACACACGTAACATATACATGTACATACGTACTGAAATGCATACAATTCGGGAACTCGACCACAGGCGCACGCCATGCGGTTTGATGAGCGGGGAGCATCTGGAAAGATTTTCTAGGGCCGCAGACTAAGTTTGGATAATCGTCGCTCATGGTAATCTTTTTCCTGCGTCTGCTTCAATCGAGAGAGATCGCAGTGTGTGTCAGAGATGTCATTGCGTGGACGGCGACGAAGCCACTACGGTAACGTTCCAACATCGTTCGGAGGAGCCGCTTGGAGCTGGCTGTGGGAGTGGCTATGGTAGATTCTAGCGGAACTTTCACAGCGGATTGAGAGAGTGAACTCGTGACAAGCCTTGCGGTCGAGGGGGTTGACGGTCTTTGTTGTTCGATGAGGGATATGATGGTGTAGGTACTGTTCTCATGATTGTTTCGCCTGGTTGTAGCGGTTGGAGGTATTGGTATTTCGCCGAAGTATTGAGTGATGAAGAAATCGTTAAGAGCCTGTGGCATTGTACCTGCATCAGTGGCTGACACTTGAAAGTCGAGTCGTCGAGGGTTTAGAGTGGACAGGTGCTGTGCCCTGGGCACGCTGCGTTGTGTGAGTCCTGGGTTGCGGGTTTGGAAGCGCGGCTACTTCGACTTGTGAAATTTCGATAGTCGGGAGCGGACAAGTGGAAGATCTCCTCAGATTTGGTGCTTGCTTCTGCTGGAAAATCCGTGTTTTCGTCTATTAATAAGTTTGCGAGTAAGAACTGTGAGTGGGAAGCAGTAGCGTTAGCCTTATGTAACGAACTTGGCGTGAACAAGAAATAAACCCGTGGAGACGTTAGGTGCGAACAACCGAGAAAAAATAGGCATTGAAGCTGCTACTGGCGGTTTGAATATGTTGATGAAAACATATTTACTAGCTTAGCTGGTAGGAGTGCACCTTCTTACTTTCTGTTTCGACTTCGTATCTCCGCCCCGCGTGGTGGGCAGTCATTTCCTTGGAAACGTGATGAACTGCACACAAATTTCAGTTTCTAGTTTATTTTGTACGGTATCAAGCTGTTGAGTGAATAGTATGATTTCTAGGTAACGGAATTCTCGTTAGCCTGTTCACAAGCGTAGACTCTAATCAAGGATCAACTCGGGAGGTTTGTTGAGATTCTGGCAGCTAAAATGTGCTAATATCCCTTAACGCTTAGTGAGTATTTCACACGTTAGAGAACGTAGAGGACTAATTCTTGTCTGAGAAACTGTTTGGGTGTAATGTGTACTACATAAATGCTCAATTGAACTGTGTACAGGGTTTTTTCATGAATACTGAAAATTAAATTGGCTCCTTCAACAGAAAGTAAGGCGAATTTACTTCTGAAATGGCTATAATGACGCGACACATAGTCGAAGCTCTTCCATCCGTCGACGGACAATGCGTGGGAGCATACTGTCCGCTTCTGAAAACTAATCGGTCAGTTGTTGACGTTGGGAGCCCCAGATTTCGAGCACAAAGCCATGGCTCAAGCCCTACTACACGGAAGAAACCCTCAGTCCGTGCCAGTTCGTTTGAAAAGAAAGGCCCGACATGGTAAGTGATTTGCCTGAAACTCAATACGCTTCCTGTCTTGCAAAAGAATTATGAATAGTATATTGGAAGCACTGGCTCGGTTTGCGAAGGTGTCTTCCCTTGCCTTTCTCTTCGCTTTTTCAAAGCATCTACGAACATTTCTTCATCCTGGAAATGTTACTGCCGCTTACTTCTCTAGGTTCTCCTGTGTTGATTACACAGCATTTTCGTTTCGCATACAGTTGGTTGATAATTTTCGTTCAGACTGGCTGGTGCAGCCCCCGTCCTGTAGTTCTTGTAGGTTTGGAGTGCTCATTATTGAGTGCTGCGCTCTAGTATGTATATATTTCTTCGGGTAATATTTTTTCATGTTTGACGTAGCCCAGTCGAGGTGTTATCATTCTCTGAATTCTAGCGGCTAGAAGTCTGGCACGGCTTCGCGTCCACAGCCTGCCGGCAAGTGATGACTGCGTTCCTTTTCAGATATTTAACGCGAAGTCTATGTTTCATGCAGGGTCGCAGCTACAATGTTGCAGAGCGACCTCTTAGTCGAGGTTGCTGACATGAGCTTCCACTTGCACAAGGTACTTTCATTAACCTCTTCACATTCTCGTGTTGCCCTCATCACATGATAGACAGTAATCCTGAATACTAGCCGCTATATTAGCTTTATGTCAGGATAGGCGTCACTGACAATTGAAGCTGTAATGTCAGTGGATTGTATGGTCGTTTTGTTTTTAATTGCAGACAGTTTGTTCCACAATAAGTCTGCTAGTTTCGTACAGGAAGTTCATTATAATTTCGTATTCTGTCTTACTGTAATCTTAGAGCGGACAACTCGACTTAACATCTATCCTTTATATCCTCTTTTTTTTCCCTCTGGTTTTTGAATTCATTTTAGTTTTTTGAAATATTTTTAAGTTCTCAATGCATGAAATTTCATTTGAATAATTTTCTTTACAGTTTCCATTGTTGTCGAGGAGCGGACGACTGAACCGACTTGTGTTCGAATCACGCGACACTGAGAAAGATCACATCAAGTTGGACAACTTGCCAGGAGGGCCTGCGGCGTTTGAGCTTGCAGTGAAGTTTTGCTATGGCATTCCCATTACGATCACCAGTTCCAATGTGGCTGCTCTCCGCTGCTCTGCTGAGTATCTTGAAATGACTGAGGATTTGGAGGAAGGAAATCTCGTATTGAAGACCGAGGACTTTCTGAGCACCGAAGTTCTGACGTCATGGTCTGACTCAATTACAGTGTTGAGAACGTGTGAGTTGCTATCACCTTGGGCGGAAAATTTACAGATTGTGAAAAGGTGTAGTGAGTCTATTGCGTGGAAAGCATGTACCGATCGACGAGGAATTCGTTGGTCCTATTCCAGCGCGAGTTCAGAAGCTTCAAGCCCACCTTCGAAGTACAATGAATCAGCTAAGAGTAGCACCTCATCAAGAGGATTACCTCAAGACTGGTGGTTTGCGGAAATGGCCGAACTCAATCTTACCAGCTTCAAAATTGTCATGGACGCAATTGCTGCAAAGGGAATGCGACACGATATGATGGGATCTGCTGTTCTTTACTATGCTCACAGATGGTTACCAAGTCTCTCTTCTTGCTCTTTAGAAAACCCTGAGTCGCCTGCTTTCAGAGAAAACTCACCTTCAAAGGATAAGAAGAAAAACAAGATGTCATCTGCTTACAAGAGAGAAGCTGGTCACATCGGTGCTTCAGGGCCTGGTCTTCTGGGCGACGCTAATGAAGACGTACTTCCCCACCTTCAAGAGAAAAATATTCTTGAAGGAATAGTTCAATTGCTGCCTCCGCAGAAAGACTCTGTCTCAGTAAGTGGATTGCTGCGCTTGCTACGAGTTGCTGTCATTCTGGATGCTAGCGCTGACTGCAAGGAAGAGCTCGAAAAGAGGTCGGGTATGCAGCTGGATCAAGCTACCTTAAGTGACCTATTGATTCCATCATGTCCTTTCAGAGGTGAAACAGTATATGACGTCAGAACTATTCACCGGTGCTTGGATCACTTCTTGGTTCAGGTACACTTGCAGCATGGTTTCTTAAGTTCAGAATAGTTTCTTGATTCAGTGCATTGGGGATGCAGTTTGTGGGGAACTATGGCTTTGAATCTGCTGATTTTTCATATGCTGTCGAGACTTTTGAGAGCTGAAATCTGGGATGTGAGAGGAAGTGCGCAATGGAAATCTATTTCTTATAATCCAATTTCTGGATTTTAATGGACCTTCTGTATGTATCTCAGGACCATATCCAAACAGTCTCTCAACGGGAAGTGCTTCCGAGCTCTGGTAGAGACAAAAATGGCGATGTGTACGACACTTCACATTTACGGCCGCCTGTTGGTCCTCATACTGCGAAGATGAAAGTGGCAAAACTCATGGACAGTTTCCTGGCAGAAATTGCGAAAGATGGCAATTTATCATTTTCCAAGTTTCAAGCTCTTGCAGAAGCACTTCCAGAATTTTCTCGAATTACTGATGATGGACTCTACCGAGCAATCGACACATTTCTTAAGGTACTATTACAATTGACATAAAGAGGTCACAGAGTACCCATCTTTATCTGGTTCATCAATGACTGAAATGCATTTCAACGGCAGCTGATTTAAATGCTTCCTGCAGGCGCATCCTGGATTAAGCGAACATGAGCGGAAAAAGCTATGTCGTATGATGGACTGCCAAAGGCTTTCGCTGGAGGCGTGCATGCATGCGGCTCAAAATGAACGACTCCCGCTCAGAATAGTTGTTCAAGTACGTGATACTTTTTGTATTCCTTACTAATGAAATTTCTCATCGAATTTCTTCACCTTCTTCTTGTTAACGCTGATAAGCACACAGGTCACTCCTCATGCCCATATCTCGTAAAATGAGCACCTGGAGGAGCGGGCACTGAAACTAGTACTATGCCTATTCAAAAATCCTAGCTTTCTATTAAATGGTATCCCGTTTTTCTGTCTCATGGCTCAGGTGCTTTTCAGCGAGCAATTGAAGCTCCGGAATGCAATCTCTGGTACCACACTTGCAAGAACGGAACATTCTTCAGAATCCCCCTTGCTACAAGCTCCATCATGTAGCTCTACCGCCACAACGCTGAGGCCGACTGTTCCAATACAAGACAGCGTCAACTCCCAGATGGATATCAGAGCTCTACAACAAGACGTCATGTTTATGAAGACCAGATTTGCAGAGCTTCAGAAGGATTACGCACAAGTAATACAACAGGTACCCCAACCTACTGACTTGGGGCAGTTCAGCAGATTTCATGACGTAGGTGTAGTCAGAATGCAGACATTCTAGGTTTGAAACTATTCTACTAGTTGTAAAAATCACATTCCCCATAATCATCTAACTCTTGCAAATCTGTGAATAGGTGGAGAAGTTAACAAAGCAGAAAGGCTCCTGGATGAAACGATTGTTTCATTCCAAGGATAGCACAGAGAGCAATTCAACGACACACCCTCGGTGGAGCAGACCATTCAGAAACTCAATCACATAGCCTGGACACAGCATGAGCTGGCCGCCTCTTGTACAATTTCCCCTACCTGGAATTCTTTCCAACGCCATGAAGAATGAGCGTATAGTGTATTGAGATAATTGAACATGTACTTTTATGTGACATTTAGAATACGAAACCAACCGCTAATTAGTGGAACCAGGTCACAGACCCTCTCACACTGTCCTCGAGACATCTCCGTCATTTATAGGCATCAGACCAGAGTAGTAGGAAGTGGGAGTTGCGCTCCTGGTGATTTTTGAGTATCTCAGTTGTATATTATTCACAAAGTGGAATTTGTATAAATCATGTAGCTGCAGTCAGTCTCCTAGCCGGCTGCTTCCTGGGTGATTTTCAACACATCGAGAGTGTTGTTGGGTTGGAATGTGGCGCCTGTGAACTAGAAGTTCAGTGGTACTAGGTTGCTGCGGGACCTGGACAACAAATGAGCAGGGTGTAATAGCAGAAGGGTGTATGAGCAAGTCATCCATCACCACCCGCTTATCAATGAATCAATGGGTATCATTGTGCACAGCAGTCTAGATCCTATAACTATATAGGTAATGCGCATTTATTTCTCTACCGAGTAACCATTTGAGGAAAGCAGGAATGCTTATTTACCTATTTAATAGATTTATAATTTTGATATTACATTTTATGATTTATGGTGTTAGAGTCAGGTTGCTCTTTGTCATTTTCTTCTTGTTATTCACAAAGAGTGTTTTTCCTTGTCTACATGACCATTTTTGACTCTGTCATTAGCTGGATGTTTTATTTTCTTTTTTGATTGAGAATCAAACAATCAATACTATGCCAAAATCATTGCAATTAGCTTGGCACACCAATCACCAGCACAGCCTACATCAAAATTGAGTCGGCCATCCAGAAATGGAAATTCAAGTCTCACTTTGAAAACTCAATGAATGAATTTTTATATTTTCATTGTCAAAAGATATTATTTTGAGTGTCCCACTTAGCATTCAATCAATGTTGACAAATACACAAGTTGTAGAAATTTGCAATTTCAGCTCTAGAACATGTCATGACTTAGTTTTGCATGTCTCTCCGCATCAAACACAATGAGGTTGAAGAAGAGAAATTCAATATTGTAAAACTGAGATTCTCATATACATTTGGTCTATACTTCAACTCAAAACTTTCTATATGTTCTTTGTGGATCTTGTGCAATAATCATGGTGTGCCTAAATAAGCTTTTCTACTAATGTTAGAATAGATCTTGATTATTCTATTTTTTTGAAGTTGCAAGTTAGTAGTTCTACAAGAGATGTAGTAAATGAGTTGCAAGTGATTCATAGTCATGTAGCACAATTTGAACTTGTAGTGGTGGTAGACCATAAGTGCTCATTGATGCACAAAAGAGCATATGTGTCAAAACTACTATGTTAGGAGGTATTGATATTGTAACACATGTTTTCCAACATGAGCATAGGAAATACCAAGTTATTGTAGTATTGATAAAATGTGAAGGGCTTTATGTGTTACAGGGCTCATATAAAAAGTGAAGTGGAAGAAGCCAATATTGAACCAAAAACACATCAAGGAGCCGCTTGAATTTGCTAAATGCTATGAACATTGAATTATTTGAGACTAGAAACGTGTTATCTTCTTTGATGAGATATTGTCAAGGACAAGAACTCGATGAAAAAGCAATTCAAACAAGTGAGCCTTCACTCAAAGAAAGGTAACAAAATATAAATAAACAAGTATGTATATTGAAAGAGAAACTCGAATGGCTATTGCCAAAAGACAAGAAAACTACAGACCCTTGAAACTAGATTGGAAGCAAGAAAGGAGTTGACAAGAGTGAAGAAGGCTTCACTCTTATCTCTATATATACTATCTAATTAGGAGCTACGTGGCGACGTTCTATAGGACCTCCAATATGTGTTGACTTTGTAGGACACATGCCTTGACTTACAAGGCAAGTTTTTCTACGTGTGGGCCACATAGTTAGCTTGGTCTTCAAGTTAACAACATGTGTGGCACATGGCCAACTTATTGACCACGTTTTTAATCCAAAAAGTCAATTAAAGACACCTATGAAGTCAAAGCAACATCTATGAAGCTTCTAAGAAGCTTTCATATCAAATATTATAGAATTAACTTACTTTTACCTACTTTTACTTACTTCTATATATTTATATATGTAATTATGAGTATGTGTGTGACAAATATAAATAAATTGATTTTGTTTAGTTGGTTGCAATTAGTATTAGATTTATGATAGACAATCTTGTAATTCAAGATAGTTTCAAGAAATAGTAAAGTTTGTTGGTGATTTGGTGATGGTGTGGAGTTGCATAGTATTCCAAGGTCTTAACATCATTTATAGAATTGAAAGAATAATGATTCAACATCAATACAAAAAAAAATTACAAAGAGATTTATTATACCCTATGGTGGCTTATAATCTCGATCCTTCCCTTTGATTTTTTAGCATGATAGCAATTCCAAACATACAACAAAAATTATTTGCTAGTAGTTGACATTACAAAAGTTTAATATTTTTTAGTGGCTTATGTAGTTTCTTGATCTAATTTCAATTGAGCATCTATGGATTGAACTAAAATGCCATTTCATTTAATATCAAAGTGCTCCAATAAGATTATTAGAGTTGTGAGAGCATATTGAGGAATGTTGGGCTTCTATTACATTAGAGGAGTGCAGAAGGTTGTATGAGAGCATGCAAAAGCAAATCCAAGCTATTTTAGTTAATAAAGGCAAATACACAAAGGATTAAGTTATTTTATGATAGAAGATACGTAAGTGAATTAAAAAACATATTCTTTGTTAAATATAATTTTTTTGTACATATTAATATATATATATATATATATATATATATATATTATTAAAATATATTATGCTTAAACTATTATATTGGACAATTTATGATTTGTGATAATCTATTGCTAATTTTTATGTGATTCAATAGATTCTTTGCAATGGTTGAAAGTTAGACATACCACTACATCCATGTCTTTTGAATAGATAGAAGTAGATAATTTTTTTTTAAAGAATTTACTACTTATTTGTAAATATATAGAATTTTCAAATAACTTCAAATTTTAAACCTTATAATGTGATGTAGTATTAAAAATAACTAAAAATAAGTATTAAAAAATAAGGTATATATTTTTAAAAAGTATGATATTCTTATTTTTATAGCTGAGGCAATAAATGCAATTATACAATTGATCAACCTTACTTTTTTTAAGATAATAAAAAACTTGCAATTTTGTATTTTTTTTGAAGTAAGAAACTTGGTTTGAGTAATGTTAAAATCTTTGATTGCTTCTATTATATACAAATAGATAGTATAAATTAATAGAATTTTTATTCTTAATTAAACTTAGAAAATTATGTTGGAATAGATAAAAGATCAAAAGTGTATCAAGTATTCATTATTGAAATAAAAAAATGTATAAGTTAGTAGAAATATTTTTTTTCTATAAATATATTAAAAAAAAATATTATCAAAACTTCTTAAGTACCTATAACATTGACACTAAAAAACTCACTAACAACTTGTAAAGAATTACATTCAAATTTATAATGAAGATAAATAAATACTTAATTAAAAAATAAAATATATACCTAAAGCTTATATCTTTATAAGTTAAATGATTTAGAATTGTTAAATAATAAATCAATCACAAATTTAGTATATAACTTATTAAAATATAATAAAAAAAAACTTTCTATGGTACATAAATTAGAAAATTATTTCTTTTATTTAAAATTACAATCTATTATAGTTTTTTAATGATTAATTTAACTTATGTCATCATCTTTTAATTCTTTTAATTCTTTTAAAAGGTGAAAGAACCATTTACTTTTAAGATTATGTATTATTATTTTTTTTATAATTTATAATATTTTTAAAGCTTAATAATTAATCTTTATTAGATTTATTATTAGACTTGAATGTCTTTAGTATAATATAATCAACAAGTCAAGAGACTTTACACAATATATTGCTTCAAATAACAATCTTATATAACACATCTTTACATAATACATCAAATTGCACGATGGCTCATAATGTACTACCTCTAGATTATTATTTTTAATTAATAGGCTACTAATACTTCTATTTTTTTTCATAGGATTTATATAGATCAAATTTATAATGTTAAAATTTGAGACTCTCTTCCAAATTCTCAAATTAAATTGCATTCATTTTCTTAAAATTTAAGATGGCTAGTCAAATTTATAGATTATGAATAGAAGTTATTGAATATTTCTACTTCTAAATTTAAAAATTAAAAAAAATTAGATATAAACAAGAGGGAATATGATATCATAAAGGTGAGACTAAGTGAGTTTATTCTAACAGTACTTGAACAATAACTATATTAGATTTGAATAATTTTCTAATTTTAATAAAATAAATATACAATCTAAAGTTGTAAGTTGATTACATTCTTTAAAAGAAAAAAGAAAATAACATATTAGTTATTTATAATTAAAAAACACTTTAGACTGATCATATTAAAAGTTTTATTTTAGTAGCCAAGTAGAAAATTATTTATATGTTAATAGTATTGATTGCTCAAAGAAAGTGAAGGTTATATTCTATGGATGTCAAAACATCTTTCTATGAAGAGCTAAACAATAGTATATCTATATTAAAAAGCTTCAAGACTTTAAAAAATATAGTTTTGAATATCTTTGTGTATAAATTCTAAAATAAAATAGAAAGTCTTAATAAAGTCTTAAAAGCTTTATATAATAAAAAATTACTTTTATTTTCTTTATTTTATCTTTTAAAAAGAAAATTTTGATTTATGTTTGATAAAAATGCCACCAAAAATTCTTTTGATGGTCATGTGTATTAATTTTTCATTTTTCATTTTTTTTTTTTTTTTTTTTTTTTTTTTTTTTAATTTTTTTATAAGCAACTAATACACAAAAGTTTAGCAACTCACAACCAAATTAATTTTTTATTTTGTAATGTCCAAAATCTCAAAAAAAAATTATATTATATCTTTAAGTAATAAGTGTAAAAGTACTTTTCAAGATATTCTTAGTTCAATCTATGTATTTATTATAAATGCTTGCCTTTCTTAACATGTTGGATTATAATCTTGCAGGTAATTTTATAGTAGAAAAACAAACTAAAGCTTGCACTTGACATAGAATCTCTACTAATAGATGCCATTAAATATTATAACATGGTAGAAAGACTAAATCATCTTACTTATATTCAATATTTTTTTTGGCAATTAATATCATCTATGATTTCTTTCAAAGCTATATAAACTACATCTATCAATAATAAATTTATTTATTTAATATTTAAATTAAAAATATTATAATTAGACTCTATATAAAAGCTCTTTAAATATTAAGTTAACTAGTATTTTAGGCACTATAAAGAAAAGAGATTTTCTCAATGGTTAAATAATAATAAAATTTGTATTTAGAATGGGAAGTTTCTACATTACATGAGCTTTGTAAAAACACGCCATTATAGCCAACTTTTCAACAAAAGCTAAGTCTATGGAGCTCTCTATATAAGGAAATGAAACAACTTGAATTTAAAAGCTCACAAAAGAATTTGCAATCAAAATTCTCAAAGCAATTACAATCTACAATGACTACTAAGGATCTGTTTGAAAGGCAAA